AATTTTTTTTATATAATTATATTTTTATAAATAGGATTATATAAATTTATACATAAATTACAAAGTAAACCCAATATCATTTAAAATAGAATATATGAAAATAGTTAAAACAGGGAGGATTAATAGGGGTAGAAATAGCCTAATGGGGTAGAAATAACCTAAGCTACTCTATCCCTTTGAGATGTATTTCTTTCTTGTCTCAATAAACCTACTTGAACTTGAAGGGAGGATTAAAACGGAGAAAATACAACAACAATTTAACAAAATATGGAGTTAGTTAGTTTAGTTCATTTATTATGCACCCCATACCCATCTTGTGGGCGGTAGTGGAAAGGGTTACAGAGGCACATAATGGGCTCAGGGACTGAACCCCACAATTCATTTAGCTAAGCAAGTTATATGGAAATATGGAGAAAACCCAAACCAACATCGTCGCTGTTCTCATGAGTGTTAAGACTGTTATAAGGCCAAAGGCCATCCCAAACCCGTATCTTCTTGAGGTTATCTTGAGATGATTTCGGGGCTTTAGTGTCCCCGCGGCCCGGTCCTCGACCAGGCCTTCACCTCCAGGAAGCAGCGCGTGACAGGTGACTAACACCCAGGTACTGTACCTATTTACTGATAGATAACAGGGGCATCAGGGTGAGAGAAACTGCCCATTGTTTCTCGCCGGCGCCCGGGATCGAACCCGGGATCACAGGATCACACGTACAGTGTTCTGTCCGCTCAGCCATTGGCTCCCTTGGCATTGGTATCGGCATTAAAATTCTGGCATTGATATCGGCAATAAAATTAAAAAAAAAATGACATTACGTACATCTGTACACAGTATTCCAACCATTTTATCTCTCGTGTTACATTTGGATAGGTTGATAGGTTGGGTTAGATTAGATTGGGTTGAGTTTGTTACAAGTGTAACAGCGATGACACAGAGTTGCCCAAACGTTTCTGTGGTCTTAAGATACCTACTCGTCCATGGAGGGAACGTGACGGCTTGGCTCTCCTGGCCTCCATGGCTAACGATTCACTGGCGGACATTTTGAAATCCGAGTCGCTCATTTGGTGGTCATGCAACCTGTCCTCTTACCAAGAACGTCGCTTTTCGATCGTATGCGTTACATATGGCCGAAAATGGAAGCGGCTGGCAAAAGTGACGTTATGTCCCGTTTTCTGTTTTGGATCCTCTGGTAGGTGAGGACAGACTACTTTAAATTGGTCGCGTTCTTGACGGTGGGAAATCTTAGGATTACGGGCTGGGTCTAAACTAAAATCTTAGCATTTATATACAGTCATAAACATGGGAATAAATTGTTAGCTTTAGGCAGATTTTCTTCAGTTAAAAAATATAATTACTAAATCGGTATAAAATTAACAGTATTGTAATAATGGATAATTAATTACCTTAAGAAATAGAAGCTATTTTTAAATTTAGAAGAAAATTCTAAATTTTCCTATTTAACAAATACTTAAATGTGAAGGTATAAATAGTCGTTTCCTTAGAAAATTTTAAAACATGTATATTATCAAAAAAACTTTATATATTCATCTCCTTGTTTCTGGATCAAAGTTGGATTCATATTTGGTCAAAATTCATTCAACTGGTTCTTTCATTCCGTCAAATCTCTTTACTTTCTTTCAGCTATTTCTTTTTTTTTAACTATAACCTCTCCAAATACCTAACTCCATTTTTATTTCACCTTTTGCTACAAATTTCCATATTTTTGAGAGAGTTGTTACATTCTTGTACAGCCACTAGTACGCGTAGCGTTTCGGGCAGGTCCCTGAAATACCATCCCCGCCGCCTAATATATATAAGACCCGTACACGTGCATTGGTAAAACCAAACAACATGGGTCACTATTTGCTAAAACATCTACGTAGATCGTCCAAAACGGAACAGTTACTGAACAAACCATAATTTCATGGCGTTAGGGAACACGTAACGCGACACCACTCGACGTACGACTCGAATTACGAAATATTTGCCATTTAGCCGTCAAAAACAGCCTATAAGATCTACACATTCTGCTTAATAAAAGCTTTACTGGTCATTCTTGCAAGTGTTTAAAATTGTAAAACCGGATTCCAACGGAGAATGACTCTCTGTTGGAATCAAATGAACAAATCCACAAGGGCCGTGACGAGGATTCGAACCTGCGTCCGGGAGCATCCCAGACACTGCCTTAATCGACCGAGCTTGATGCATCACGTTAGTGTGATCTCTGTGTGTCTGTTGGAATCATTACAGAATGATTCAAAATGAATTCACACCATTACACTGATTTCTAATCTCTGACAATGCTGGTTTGCGTAATTTTAAGCCAGTTCTAAATGATATTCCCGGTGCTTCAGTATCTTAATCTTGAAAAGTTTCGAATGAAACTTCCGATGTATCCATTACAGCTGGAACTTTATACATATACACGATACACAGGGGGTAGGCTTTTATTTTTTTTAATACATTAGGTTGCAGGCGATGAGTCACAATAACGTGGCTGAAGTATGTTGACCAGACCACACACTAGAAATTGAAGGGACGACGACGTTTCGGTCCGTCCTGGACCATTCACAATCGACTTGAGAATGGTCCAGGACGGACCGAAACGTCGTCGTCCCTTCAATTTCTAGTGTGTGGTCTGGTCAAAAATACATTAGGTACAACTGCACTTTCAATTTAAAATAGGAACCTGCGGTATTTGTATCCACAAAAATAAATCTAAAGTGTACTTCTTCTTGAGGTTATCTTGAGATGATTTCGGGGCTTTAGTGTCCCCGCGGCCCGGTCCTCGACCAGGCCTCCACCCCCAGGAAGCAGCCCGTGACAGCTGACTAACACCCAGGTACCTATTTTACTGCTAGGTAACAGGGGCATTGGGTGAAAGAAACTCTGCCCATTGTTTCTCGCCGGCGCCTGGGATCGAACCCAGGACCACAGGATCACAAGTCCAGCGTGCTGTCCGCTCGGCCGACCGGCTCCCCGCTACTATTGTTATCCTCTACTTGAGGATAACAATATTATAAAAGCTTCCTCAGTCTACTTTTTTACAGAAAAACTATTGGAGCCGTTAAAGGGTAATTTAATATATTTAATATCCCTTTCTACTGTAGTAATTTTACCATAAGAGTGAAACTTCTTATTTAAGAAATTGCTTATGAAAGTATATACCATATGAGCAGGGTAACTAAAAAAAAAATCACAAGGAAATTAATTTCTTGATCAAAGTTGGACCAATTTGAGCATAATACAAAGGCACTATTCAGCAGAGTGTTAATTACATTTTTCTTAAAAATATCCGGAACAAATTAATTAAAATTTAAGCGTAATCCTGTAAAAGTCAGTTTTCTGTAAACATTAGTGTTAATACCATCAAGGTTACTCACTTTGACATCAAGAAATGACAACGAATTATCTATTTACTTGTGTAAAGGAGGAAATGTATACGTTTATCTCTCAGAATGTTCGGTAATACGTTTATTGTTTGTGATGTGTGTCTATGTATGTATTAACACGATGTACTGAACGGGGTGAGAATAGCTTGAGCTACCTCATCCCTTTATGTGGATTTTACCTCAATAAACTTATTTCAATTTCAATTATCTATTTCACACACTGCAGTCAAACATATATTACAGCGTTGTGCATTAAGATACTCTCTAAACTTATCAACATGAAATTGGTCCTTGAATAACAAAAAAGTGTCATCCACATATGTCCTGTACATGACTGGTTTAAAATTTGTAAAGTCAATTTCTCTCGTGAAAACTAAAAAAAGCATTAGCAAGTGCGGGACCGAATGGAGAACCCAATGCTATCCATCAATTTGTTTATAATATTTATTATTAAACATAAAAACCGAGTCTTTAACCAACAATTCTAACAATTGTCTAAATTGCTTACCACTGAATCCCGAAAAACAAAATTAGTGTTGGCAAATAAATGATTTACACAAATATCAAAAGTTTCCAACAAGGATACCTCATACCTCAAGGATACTTGATACCTCAACCAGGTATCAAGGAAATATGAATGACGTATAGTAGGGAAATCAAGATTCAGTGACGAAAATTCCTTTACAAAATCCTGAGAATTTATCACAGTAAATTCATTGCAAGTTAGTGGTTCCAATAATGGAACTAGAAACTTTGGCAATTTGTAATTAAAAGTACCAATCCCTGACAAAATAGGACGAATAGGTATACCTATATAATAGGTATACCTGTGTTACGAACCCTCGGTAACTCATATAAAATACCTGGCTAAGAGCCAGTTACAAAAATTTTTGTATAATCAAAGGAAACATCTTTCAGATTTCTTACAACTCTATTAAGTTTATTTTCACATTTAAATATATATGAAAAGGGGTTATATATATATACATTGGGAAATGATAAATTAATTGTAGCCAGCGGTACTTCATTCATAATGATGTACTGCCAGGAATCTTAGCAAAGTATGCACAATTTGCTTACTGTAGGTGCAGCCTGCACATGACTGTAAAGCTGCCGCCCAGTTGGGTGGGTGTGGAGCACATGACTGTAAAGCTGCCGCCCAGTTGGGTGGGTGTGGAACAAGACTAGTAACAGTGTGATTCACCGTAGATGTAAAGTACCTTGTATAGTGACTGTTGTGAACCTCTTGCTGAATTAGTTGTGATACAAAAAGATTATTGTTGTGTGTATGTGTGTAGGTGATTGTATATGTATGTGTATATATGTATGTATATGTATATGTATGTATGGGTATGTGTACGAGTCTATATAACATTAATAATTGTGTAACTAGCAAAAGATTGTTATTTGCTTAGCTCTGATTGTTATTCAGTTCCTGAACCGATTATGTGCCTCTGTAACCTTTACACCACCGCCCACATGATGGGCATAAAGAAAGAAATTGAGCTGAAGAGCTAGCGAGAGTAACCAAGAAAGTAAAACTTTTAGAATGCTCAGTGAGTGGCCGCCTTGGAGACTCAGACTTGGAGAACCAATCAACGGTTAGTGTACGTTTGGCAGGCGTGGGGAGTGGACGTGCGCTGCTCTGGGCTGTCCGCGCGTTCGAGTAAATTCTTGCCCAAAAATCCTTCGGTTGGATAAATTGTGATAAAGGAGGTGTTTTAAGTTAAGGGAAGCAGTCTGTGCTAGTGGCTGTTGATGTTATATCTGATTTATAAGACCGGTGTGGGGAACAAGTTTTTCTCTCAAGAAGTTTAGTATCGCGTACTACACCTTAGCTGAACATCTCAGTAGAGAGAGATTATTCTTCAGTTGTGTTTAGCGTCCATTAGACTTGCCTTCAGGTTTAAGAATGGATTATGTAATGTGGTAAGTACCACAATGTGACTTTGTAGGGGTATTAGGAGCGTTTGGAAGAGCAGTGAAAGTTTAAGCAGACCCACATGGGCCGAGCAAAACTTTGTGTGTGTGGAGTTGGTGGGTGTCTGCGCGCACCTCTCTCCTCCCTCCCTCTCTCTCTCTCTTCCTCTCTCGCTCTCTCCCTTTCTCTCCCTTCCTCTCTCTCCTTCTCTCTCCCTCTCTCTTCTTCTCCCTCCCTCTCTCTCTCTCTTCCTCTCTCGCTCTCTCCCTTTCTCTCCCTTCCTCTCTCTCCTTCTCTCTCCCTCTCTCTTCTTCTCCCTTCCTCTCTCTCCTCCCTCCCTCTCTCTTCCTCTCCCTCCCTCTCTTTCTCTTCCTCTTCCTCTCTTTCTCTCCTCCTCTCCCTCTCTCTTCCTCTCTTTCTCTCCTCCTCTCCCTCTCTCTTCCTCTCCCTCTCTCTTCCTCTCTCTCTCTTCCTCTCTCTCTCTCTTCCTCTCTCTCTCTCTTCCTCTCTCTCTTCCTCTCCCTCCCTCTCTCTCTCATTCTCTCTCTCCTTAAACCTCTTAAGAGTTTAGAATCATTTGAGCATTTGTCTCTAGTATTAGGACTATTTTATCATTTACTGTTGGGAGAAAGTTTTGACAGTAGCTTTTGTTTTTACAATGACGTGGGAATGTTAGTCTGAGAATACTTGCGCATGTTATTAATTGGTTCATTAATAGCCTTGTTCATTCAAGAGTTTAGCCAATAAATAGTGTGATGTTCGTTGTTAAAGAGGTTGTGACCAGGTCACTAGTATTCGGGGTCACGTGATCACTACTTGCAATTTCTTCCTAGGTCCTGCAAGGAGTACGAAGGTCCATCTTGAAGTATTGCGTATATAAGATAATTATCGAGGGACGTTGTTTAAATTATAATGGAATAATGCAGAATTAATGTTGAAATAAACTGAGCCCTGTGAAACTCTTTTTGAATCCCTGTGAAACTTTCAATAAATTGAAACTAGCATGTCTTGAAAGTTCCCTGTAATTATGTATGTTATTCTTAAGCGCGTCTTGGATACTCGTTAATGTGTCCGTTAACCAAGGCCTGTGTAGATTGTCTTCACAAAGTGAACAGTAGTCGATATACAAGATGTAGCCAGGCCAGAGTATCGAAGATTATTGATTTTTTATTAATGGCCTAGACTTGGTCAATAGGTTGTGGGATGTATTTAAAATTACCGCCACGGTAAAGGGGAAACATTTTAAGCGTTCTAATTTAATTTTTCGTTTCGCATTGGGTGTAGGATTAGTTTTGATTTTTGCCTATTAGGTTATTACCTACCTATTACTTATTTTTGAAGTTTCCGTGGATCATCGTCCCCACGGCCCGGTCTCCGACCAGGCCTCCTGGTTGGTGGTGTGGTCAACCAGGCTGTTCGGCGCGACTGCTTGCAGCCTGACGATGATTTCGATGGTTACCTTGTGATGATTTCGGGGCTTAACGTTCCCTCGGTATATTATTTATATAACTGTAACTGATAATGTAACTGTTTGTACCTTAAATAATGCTTCGATGGACTGAACAGTGTCATATCTGTAGATATACTGTAGTAGTATTGGTCGTTAGTAACTTTGAATTGGTTTCAACCAATCATGCTCATATTTTGTTAATGTGAATTAACCATAAATTAGGCTTTAAGCTCTTAGTCTAGTTTATTATTCATTTTAACCAGTACATATATTTGATAACTGAGGTTACAATGGCAGTGTGGGGCAGCTGTTCCCTTCAAGCTCAGGATGACTGATAAATGTATAATTAACACTTTAATATAATTTTAGAGACTAAAATCATGTTAAGTTCTCCTAATTGACCAGCTGAGAGGGAGGCGAGAGACTGCGTTCCTTGTCCTAATGTAATTTCACCATCGTGTGCTTGCTGGTTCCTCCTTTTTCCTGCCTGCGGTAATTTCACGATTGATTGATTGATGTAGATTAAGCCACCCACGAGGTGGCACGGGCATGAATAGCCCCATAAGTGGTAGATTTTTTGGAGTGAATGTGATCTTTGGTCGTGGAAAGGTAATCTCATGCCGGTTGTCTAGTCAAACCGCACACCCGCCTCGCATGGAGCTGGTGTACGGCTGGTTTTCTAATTGGATTATATTGGGTTAGGTATGATATTTTTAGTACAACAATGATGATCCAGTGACGAACAGTCCTGTGTATACTAGCTGTTGTTTCTCTCTGTTTGCAGTCGAGATTTACAGCTCACACTAAATATGAGTAGCATATCCCATTTATATACATATATATATATATATATATATATATATATACATATATATATATATATATATATATATATATATATGTATATATATATATATATAATATATATATATGTATATATATATATATATATATATATATATATATATATATATATATATATATATACATATATATATATTTATATTTATATTTATATTATACTGTAAAGGGCCGTGGCTAAGCTTTCGTAAAATAATTTATAGTTGAAGTTGGTTTGGTTAAGGCGGTAACTGGCTCCTTGTGCACCTCTTAAATATTCTTCTCCTGCGCAAATTAGTCCGAGATCGGAAAATACCAATATAAACTGTTAGATATTATATGGACTGCACAAAATGTCCGTCAGTGTAACATCAGACTAGTAACTCCTACGATTAAATTGAGCTAGGCTTAACGTTGCCTGTGGCAAATGGCTGCAAATGACGAATCCCCCGATTTGTGTGTAAACTCTACGAGAAAGAACTAGGTTCAAGTATGTTTATTGAGACAAGACAAAAATACATCTCAAAGGGATAGAGTAGCTTAGGCTATTTCTACCCCCCTTCCAGAAATAGGTTATGCTCTTCAACATTATATTATTGAAGTCTAGTTATTAGTTTCTGCCCGAAACGCTTTGCGTAATAGTGGCTTTAGGCATTGTATGTACTAGCTCTATCTATAAAGCCAACAAACTTTGTAAAATCTCTTTTATGTATGTACCTTACCTTAATAAATATTATTATTATTATTATTATTATAGTTCCTTTAGACCTGATGGAATGAGACTAGGGGTTTGCACTTCCTTTGTTCATTCTCTTGTCCTTGAGCGCTTAATTATATTCCATCCTAGATTACTAGGGAGCTAGATAACACTGGTATGGCAAGCTATCCGACGAGATGTTTATCTTAGCTTTGTACAGTCTTTCGGCATAACCAGGAACCCATAATATAGGTTAGGGAAGTCGCATATACTTAATGTTCTTAAGTATGGTATTAAATAGAAATTTTTTAATTTTTTAACCTCAATTTTCTGGTTATAATTTTAAGACCTATTTGATTTGGCAGTTAGGTCAAGCATTTTTTGCTAATTCCTTCAAATTTGCAAGAGATCGTGATGTGGGGATGCGTTGTAATTATACACAGTTTATATGATGTAAGTGTAGGGTAAATATAAGTTTTATAAACAAGTTTGTCCCGGCCTCGGCTTGTGGGTCCCTTTTAACCCAGATGATGTTTCTTATAAATCTAACTTCTACCTTGGTGTGTATTGTAAGCCAGGCAGCATATAGGAGCTATCTTCGTCTTGTGGAAGCATATATATATATATATATATATATATATATATATATATATATATATATATATATATATATAATAATAATAATAATAATAATAATAATACCATGAACCATGGTAGTATTAGCATGGTTCCTACCATGAACACCCAAATCACGGAACTATTTACTCTACCCACCATGAGAGTAAGGACAAGACAAGAACATATCGATGCCAACACAGAAGACAATGTCCAACATAACAGGCCAATTACACTGGATTAATCTAGATAGGAGCTGCCTCGTATGGGTCAATAAGCCTTCTGCAGCCTCTATGTTTCACCTCACATTTATCCCTTATGTATCCCCCCATGTTTTCACCTTCATTGTATTATCATCTGACCCAGTGCGGGTATAAAATCAACTAGTATTGTAAGATCTGTTCACTTGAGAATGAACCATGGAGGTTCGAAACGTTGTGCAAATTATATAAATAAGTGTAATACACTCTATAGCAATTCACTTCTTTTCTTCACCTTAAAAGTACGAAAATGAGTTTTGGAGAACTCCTATTTCGATTAAGCCCTGATGCTAAGAAAATAGTTAGAGGGATAGAAGCCCTAAACCAGAAAATAATAAATACAGAATATGCGGTCATATTCAATGAAACATGTTTGAAAGAAAACCTGCTGCCAGTATACACCAATAATAATAATATGGTACTCGTATGTACCATCTGTTTCAACTTAACAGTGAGGTCAGTCTAGATATATTGAGTAATGTGTATATTTACTAGAACAGGTAGGAGCAATGATATTGATACGCCTCAATATTGTATATCTTTTATGCGGGAAAATCCTTTCAGTTTTTCACAAGTAAAAATTACACGTTACAGGCAAGAAAGTGTGACAAATTCAACGTGAACTGGAGGTTGGTTTCATGAAAGGGATTGGGAACCTTCAAAAGACTATGATCTTATGTAATGATTTTCTCCAGAAATATTTTATGATCCAGTATAGCCATTGAATCAGATTTTCAATACAAATATCAGATATGGTAAGCATTGAAGTTCTAGGCATGACCTAGAAAGGTTTTTTTAAAAAAAGATTTATAAAAGATTTTTTAAATTAAGTAGTTATATTAAGATTTATCAGGCTGCTACGTGGAATGGTGCGCCAGCTTACCTTCTAAAGCAAATGTTCAATCATAGCCTAACTTCCACTAGGCTATATACTATTACAAGTGAAGTAGATTAATACTACTATAAGCGTTCTGGAGTAATTCCACTAGGTTGTATGCAAGTAACATTCCTCAAAATTAAAGATTTTACTGTGAATAACATTGTGGAATCAGAGAAAAAGTATTTACTTTGTGACCTAAAGTAAAAAAAATTCATAATCCTAAGAGATTATAATAATATTCGGACGAAGCTCTGCAGTAGGCCTGT